GGAGGGGCACACAGGAGCAGTGAAAATAACAGAGGCAGAAAAGAGGTAGGAGGAGAGCCAGCTAGTGACATGATGCCAAGGCAGTGACAACTTCAAACCCAAAGGTGTGACAAACACTGCCAGATGCTGCAGAAAGTACAAAATAAATACTGAGTGCCCAGCGGATTGGGCAAAGGTGGGTCACTGAGGAAAGTGGCTGTATGAAGAGTAACTCTGGAGCAGTCCAAATGAATTGAGCCAACTTCTAACATGGGCTTCATGATGGACGGGTGGCAGGCTGATCCATGCGCCCCCAAAACTGAGATAAAAATACTCCCAAAATATATGTGTGAGCACATCACCAGGAATAGTAATTTTGAGATACGTCCACATGTCAGAGCCTGAGGAGAACTTCCACGAATTCCCCACTAATTCCAACGCTGATGAAACTGGGGAAACACAACTTCCACCCCGAGAACCACAGCGGCCCACGGGAAGGAAGGCTTTCACTCACTCACCACCATTTGCTCTTGCCAGGGACCCAGAGGCCACAGTGGCCATCAAAGCAAGCAACTGTTTCCATGGTGATCTATTCTCCAACCCAAGCCCACCTCGGCAGCACCCCTTTTCTAAGCTCCTTTAGAAAACACCCCTCTGAGAGTAAGCAGAGCCAGGGGTTGGTGCGACCATCCTGGATCATTGGCAGGGCAGATGAGAACCGGAATGTACCTGGGATCACTGACTGCTGTGTTCCAGTCTGGGAGCAGGAAGGAGAGCAGGAGAGGGAAGGACAAAGGCTGATGTAATTCTGTGGCACAGGGAACCAACCTAACAGTATGGGCCATCAAGATCCCGCTTCTGCCCTGGACGAGATAGATGCATGTCTTCCAGAAACAGGGCCTCTAGTCTGGGGCTGGAAAGGGGAAAATTTTCCAAGATCTGGGTAAAGTGAAGATAGAACAGAGAAGGCTAAAGAGTCATTATAAACCTTGCTTGCTCACAGTCACTGGCCCTACAAAGAACAATAATGGTTGAATCACAAAGCAGAACAGAAAAAAGCAAAAGGGACCATATAAAAACAGCTTCTATTGCAAAATAAAGACTGCATTAGGCTAGGTAAAAAGGCTTTATATATACACATGTAAATTACGTATATATGTAATATATACATGTATATTACATTGATATATACATACATTATGTTAATATACATTATATAAATTATTTTAAATTTTATAATAAATAATTTAAAATTTGTAAATGACAGTAGACAACTAAATCAATGTTGTAGAAGACACACTCAAGAAGGAATGCAGACTTCAGAGGTGCAAAAGAGAAAAATAATGTGAGAAGAGATGGGTAAAGTGAAAAACGAATGGAAATCTAGCATTAAAATGAGAGGCATTCCTGAAGAACAAACAGAAATAATAACCATCAAAGATGTGAAAGCAAAAGAACCTAAGCTCAAAGGAAGACTTGAGACAGTAATCCAAGGGGCTGACACTGTTACAGACAAAAATCATGTGAAATACCTACACCCAGACATTTCATAGCTGCTATGAGGAAGCCCTGAGGAGAGCACGCCCTAGCACAGCTGCTACAGAAGGGGGACGCTGGGTTAGAAACTGATAGCCCCAAACTGGAAACCCAAATATCCATCCTGAATAGAATGGACATAGAAATTGAGTTATAGTATCAGTAATGGAATACCATATATTAATGAACATGAATGAACTTCTGATAGAGGCAATTTTAGTTTAAGATTAAGATAGCATCACAAGGCTATTCAATAAATAGCATTTCAAAAACTGTTTTTTTATTATAATTCATATGTCTAATAAAACTTCACATGACACCCTGTAGAAGTGCAAGATACTGCTAATGAATACACATGAACTCCCTGGGTACACTGCAAACTCTTTGGGGAGAGGCAATGAATATTATGCCTATTTTATTTCTTCCTCCATCCAGAAAGCACTTGGGTAAACATTCCTGCAATGAATGAATGAACAGGAATGAACAAAGGAATGAATGATGAATGAATGAATGAATGAATGAATGAATGTCTCAACCGATTCATCGTGGCTGCGTTTGCTTGTTGGGTGATGCTCAACTCCAGTCTGGCCAACTTGGAGCAGCTCTGCACTATTTCCTCCTGAGCTTTGTGTAAAGAGAAGAAACAGAAACTTTCCAGAGTGAATGGCAGCTGGAGATGGCATGCATGGAGAGAGGCTCTTGTCCCGCCTGTTCTCCGTGGGGACCCACCCAGGGGCTGGGCTCCTTTGACCTTTACCTTGAAGGAAAGGGGCATTCTGTTCCTGGTGATAAGCACCAACCAACCTATCCCCATGGTGATCCTGAAGCAGGAGGCTGCAGGGTGAGAAGGGGGGGAGCAGAAAGTGAGGGTGGTACCCAACTAGTGTCTGCACGGGAGTTAGCCAGACCACAAAGGATGCTCCACTGTCCACCAGTGTCCAACACATCACGTGCCTGTGCAACACCGCGAGACCTCTGAGGATAAATGAGTGGCCTGGAACAGCAGGACTGAGGACAGCTTGACAGGAGGCAGCCCCAAGAGAACAGCAAGCAGGCAAAGGCTCGGAGACCTCAGCTCCCTGAAGCACCAGCGGCAGTCACCCGGACCGATTCTTGCCAGCTGGTTTTCAGACCCTGCCCCCCAGCTCTAAACTCAGTGCACATCTGCACAGCCCTGCCCGAGCCCCACGATGCTCATAAGAAAGCATGAGCAGTCATAACTCAGGGGTCACCTTGGCAAAAAATAATGAAGTAGAAGAAATCTTCCGTCAGAAAATACATGGATTATCCTCCTGAAGGACAGACAGCGCCTTCACCAGCGCTCTCAGGTGCTGAAGTCCCGCTTCCTCCCACCAGGGCTCCCAGCAGGGCTTCCCTCCTGAGCCTGCCCACCTGGACTACTAGAGTCACTCCCTGCTCATCTCCCCTGCTAAGAAGGAGACTTTCTTTCTTTTCTTTTCTTTTCTTTTTTTTTTTTCATTGATTTCGGAAAGGAGAGGGAGAGAGAGATAGAAACATCTTTGATGAGAAAGAATCATTGATCATGCCTCCTGCACTCCCCACACTGGGGATTGAGCCCTCAACTGGGAATCGAACCATGACCTCCTGGTTCATAGGTCGACGCTCAACCACTGAGCCACGCTGGCTGGGCAGAAGGCACCTTTCAGCCCTGCCCAGCTGCCTGGCCCTGGGTGAAACAGCTGGTGAACTCTGGTGTTTGCCCAAGAACATGCAGGGTGTTGCAGCCAGGTGCTCAGAGCAGGGAACAGGGCTGAAATCTCACCAGCCATCCTCTTGAAAGGCCGCACCCAGAGGTGGCCCAGATTTAACCAAAAACAAAAAACAAAACAAAAAACTGCCTTGCTCTGAGAAGTGTTGGAGAAATCATCTCTTGGTTATTCGCAAGGTTGGGTAGCAGACGGAGAGAGGAAGGGAAGTGGAAAGCAGGATCTGGGACAGGGGATCTTCAAACTTCATTTGGTTAGTAATCTCACATCTTTGAGAGTTGCCAGTTCTTGGCCTCTGTTCAGCAAAACCCACTCAGGGGGCTCCAACTAACTGACAAACCCAGGGGACCTACACAAACACACGTGCAAACCGGCCAAATCAATGCACCCCCTGTCCTCATCTCCACTGGGGGCCGACTCCTCGGGGTGTGGGGGAGCCTGAGCCTCGCCTCACCTGCCCAACGCGGCCAAAACTAATGAAGGCTGGGCTCCCGTCACAGGCAGTTAGGGCTCTCCTGCATGCATCTGTGTCCTTCATCTGACTGTTCTCTGGCCAGCTGAAGACCAGTAGAGCTGAGGGTCCTGCTGTCCTCTCGGGCCACCACTCTGTCCAGACCACAGTGAGCAGCTGCTGCCCTAAGGAGCCTGGCCTTGCCCACTCGCTCTGACATCCCAGCCTCCTCTGGACCCAGCCCACCCACCTCTGCCAGGCCACTGCTCGCTCATGCACATAAGCAAGCCCCGAGGGAAGCGTGCCAACAAAATAAACAAGGGCAGGGAAAGTTATCACACGGCCCCATCCTTCGATTCCCTCGTCTGCTGCAGATCATGAAGCAAGTGTGGCTTCCCTGGCCCAGCACTGAATCTTCCCACCTTCCCCGGTGAAAAAGGAGCGCGGAGAAGGCATGCTGGCTCGGACCATTACACTTAAAAGCAAAGATGGGAGCCATCTGGGGTAATTTCGGCTTCTCTCTTTTAGAAAATAAATTAGTAGACTTCGTGTTTTAAAATGTGTTACAAGGAACACAGCATTCCAAAACACTGGGGAAAAACGATTCTGGTTTGGCCTCAGCAGATGTGGCACCTAGGCAAACATCTGGCTGAATCAACCTAATTCTCTATTCCAGAAAATAATTCCTTCTCTCTTGCTTTAATTTTCTTTTTATCGGGGGTTGGTTTACCAATGGGGACACAACAGGGCAGTGTCCCAGGACGAAGTCAGTCACTGCGTTCTGAGGTTTTTTTCCCATCCCTCATTCTGCCGAGTACTCAGGTCTGAACTGTGTTACGAAGGAACAGAGGCGATAAAAATTATCGCTGTCCACCTCGACGCAGCTTCCAGAAAATTTCTCAGCTGGGCAGGATTCAAAGCACATGGCCACACGTCAAGAGACGGCCATTAACAAGGCTTCTCCCTCCCCCACAGCTGGGCCCCAGCGTAAATGACAATATGGGAACAGGATGGCACCGTGTGTGACAGAGATTCCATAAACTGGAAAATACACTTGGGGAGTTGAAGGCTATCCTCCCAGTCAGTAGCCAAGGAAACGGAACTATCCACCATCAATCTCTCAGGCCTCGAGGTCCATCCCACACAAAGAAGTTTTCGGGCAGAATTTACCTCTGAACTCTTTCCCGTCCACCACAGTCAGACGGGGCCACAACTGGTGGCCAGAGCCTGGCCCTTTCACCTGAGATGCACAATAGCCCCAAGTGCCTCTCCGATGGCTAAGCTCCCAGACGGGGCGGGCTCCTTACCATCGAGCTCCTCCACAGAGATATTTGCAAGCTGCTCGCTGTCGCTGCCAGCAGAGAGAGACCGGTTGAGGTAATTCCCCTTGTACAACAGGCCAGCGGTCACATGGTGGAAAGGCATCTTCTCCCTGTTCACGGGAGAAGGGAGGTGAGAGAAAAAGACATCGTCAGTCACTCCTCCTTTCCCTCCTTAAAGGACCACCCCGGCTTTCCCATGGCCAGTGTTATCTTTTACATAATAACATCTCTAGAGGGGAAGTCAGAAAACTCTGGGGTACCCAGGGCTGAACAATTCCTACACGGTCTCAAGATCTAGCCCTTCCTCCACTGTATGTCTTGCATCATTGTTCCCACTGAATTATGAATTTGAAGCGAGTTGTCCCTGCAGACTGTGGGACACCATGTCATCACCAAGCTGTCTCCGTACAAACAGGAACACCCTCTGCTCCTCTCCCTCGCCTGGCACCCTCTTTCTCAGTTCTCATAAGAAAGGACTGTGCACCCCAGAAATGTCGGGCTGCCCAGGGACTGGATGTCTTGGCTGTGACCTGCAGAGTCCAAGGGTTTCACTTTTCCCAGGCAAAGCAGGCACACACAGCACTCCAAGCAGGTGGGAATGAGCGGCTCTACGTGAATATGCACACCAGTCCGCACCTCTGAGGAGCAGCCCCCACGCCCGACTCCCCCTACTCACACCTGCCCTACTATAAAGGTGAGTGACATCTCCAGGTGTCCCAGAACTAAGCAGCCTCCAGCCCTCTCGGGGAAATTAACTAATGCAGTGGTTCTCAACCTTCTGGCCCTTTAAATACAGTTCCTCATGTTGTGACCCAACCATAAAATTATTTTCGTTGCTACTGTTATGAATCGTCATGTCAATATCTGATATGCAAGATGGTCTTAGGTGACCCCTGTGAAAGGGTCGTTCGACCGCCAAAGGGGTCGCGACCCACAGGTTGAGAACCGCTGAACTAATGCATCCCTCTACCCCCAACTAACAAACCCTCCAGGCAAAGCTGCTCTGCCCAGATGGCCACCTCCACTGGGCCTCAGAAGTCCCCCACAGTGCAAGGCAGGCCAGAGGCTCCAGGCAAAGGGAAAGGGGAGGGAAAGGCGTGTGGTGAGGAGAAGGAAAGGGCAGGTACAAAGGATAAAGAGGAAAGGCAGTTAGAAAGATGGGCCCTCCCCGGCAGAAAGGGCCCAGCTCTGTTACAGTGAGGGAGCCACTGAGCATGTCATGTTCTGCTTCCCCATCAGGAAAGGGACTAGGAGGACTAATAAACCACTGAGTGGAACTAGAGAATAGGTAGGAAGAACAGGAAGCCAATTACAGGGTGTGGCTAAAGAACATCTTCTTAGCAGGGCTCCCAGAAGGAGAACTGGGCAGCCCTGGAAGGAGTAATCTCCCCGTCCCTGGGAGCATTCACGCACAGATGAGGGCCTCCCTGCCAAGGGCTCTGAGGGAGAGGAATGACCCCTTGCTCTCTCCCCACACAGCTATCATTCTGCATGTAAGTCACTTGGAGAAACCTGTCCGGCACTAAAGCTTGCGTCTGTAGGATAAGCCAGAGTGGCCGGAGAGCCCCTGTGGCCACTGCTGAGTAACGAGGTATGAATTACAGGAAGACAGCCAACGGGCCAGTCTCTGAGAACAGGACAGCCAAACCTCGCCAACCCTCGAACCCCACTCAGGGAGAATCCACACCCGGCGATCGTCCCTGCTCATGGGATGCTGGAGCCAGCCCACACCAGGGGTGGGGCTCCTGTCTGCTTTCCCCTGGGACACCACTGGTGACAGGCACAGCTGGACACGCCCCTACTGTCCCCACTCAGCAGCAGGTCCTTGCTGGGGCTGAGCACTGCTGACCTAGAGATCAACCAAGTAGACTCCTAAGAGTTACAGGGCTCACCCAAGGGCACAACACCGGTTAGGGAAAGAATCCTTTCCAGAACACAAGCCTCCTAAAGTGCTGTTTCGATGAAGCAGCCACAGCTGAGCCAAGACATTTCCATCCGGATGTCAAACTCTCGTTTTAAACTCAAGATGTCTAAAAACGAATTAATTATCTTCCTAAAAAATAGGCCACACTTCCTGATTTCTCTATTTCTATCAAAGGTACTTTTCATTCATCATAACAACTGGGACAACTCTCACAAATGCTCTGGGCCCCGAACAGTCAGACAGACCCAGGGCTGAGGCCAGAGCCAGCTGTCAGGCTCCAAACCACGCGAACGCTCTACCGCTCACAAAACACACATCCATGAGCCGATTGTCAACGGCAGGACGCTGGCCACAAAGCGCGCACACGTTTGCCAAGTATATAATGTACATCTTCAGCTAGTTATAAGCCAGACGTCCCCCTCCCAAGCCAAATCTGTCCTTTCACAAAAATAGAAAACAATCATCTTTTTCTGGAAGAACAATTCAATTGCTATCTCCTCTTTTCTCCAAGTTAGATTTCAGACTGAACAGGTTGAAAAGCGAGTATCAGACGTATAAGTTAAGGCCACTCTCCCTTTTCCTAAAGCCAATCCAGGTTTGGGGGACTGGGTGCCGTGATTGTCTGACAAAGGACTGGATTCCCGTGGCCCAGGGAGAGAGAAGTCAACACCACTAACACTTCCCGCGTGCCTTCAGCTCCCTCTCAGCACTGGCCTAGGACCCCAGCTGCCTCACCTGCTGTTATTCAGTCATTTCAGTTCTTCGTGAGCATGGGAAGATGACACTGATCTTAGCGAATTTCCCTACCTGGAGGAGCCCCTCTCCAATCAGTACCGGTCCTGGAAACATTCCTCCCCGTTTCATCACTCATCACCCTACTTCCCAAGCATTTTGTAAATATCTTCCCTTTATCGCCTTTTACCTGGACGTCTGAAGCTTTGCATCTGCCACACACATTTTTGCAGCTGCATAACAAAGTTATACGCAAACGAACATACCCAAGCCATGTCCCAGTACAGCACATAATAAACAGTGAGTACTTGGCAGAAAAAAAAAACACACCACAAAACTGGTCATAACTGAATCCTATTTGCTATGCCAACATAATTTGCTTCTGGAAAAAAGCAGCTTACAAAATTAGGTATATATTCAGTTCCTTCGGTCTCTGCACCCAAAATGGTCAGTGCTAGTGGGAAAGAAAACATGTGCAATTGAACTATCCATACAGATAAATAAAGTCATGTTCAAAAGAGGGAAGAACATTATTTCAAGTAAGCTAAAAACAGCTGCTGCAATTAAGGACTAAATTTCACTCCGAGCCACCTGGGAAAACCCAACCAACGTTTTCTCTTTGGAGAAGGAAGAAAAACACACAAGTTCATCGGCAAAGACAAACATGGCCGTGAACTAAAACTTAAAGATGGATCCTTATATGGGGGGCAATGAACACAAAACATATGTAAATATTTTCACGGCAACTTTACTCATTGAGAAATATTATTTAACTGACTTTATCATGTAGACACTTTCTCTGTAGCTTCTGTAAGGCAGTATGATTTCATGTTTAAGAATCAGGACTTCTGCCCGCCTGGTGTGGCTCAATGGTTGAGCCTCGACCTATGAACCAGGAGTTCACCGTTTATAAGCACATGCCCGGGTTGTGAATTTGATCCCTGGTCGGGGCCATGCAGGAAGCAGCCTATCAATGATTCTCTCTTATCATTGATGTTTCTATCTCTTTCTTCCTCTCTGAAATCAATAAAAAATATATATTTTTAAAAATCAGGACTTTTGGAGAAAAAACAGTGTTAGATTTAAATCCCACCCCTGCCTTCAATACCCATGTCAGTAAGTTACTTATCTTCTGTAAGCCTGTTTCCTCCTCTGTAAATGAGGGTTTTGATATATACTGATTAGTGTTTTTATAAATTTAATATAAGGTATGGAAAGCACTGTACTTAGCACCAGGAACATTCTCAATAAATATCAGTAATTATTTGCTAAGGGTTATATGAAACAGGATACAGGGAAAAGAGGAGGTCACAGGTATATCGGATTGAAGATCAAACATTCCAGGTTAGGAAGTAGAGTCAGAGAGGATGTGGCAGAGGTGGGCTGGGAGGGAGGCTGGCTGGCTCCGTGCACCACGGTTCTGAGGGACCAGGTGGGCGAGGGGCTGGGCAGCACCAGGGTTCCTGGTGAGTGGCGGGTGGTGTCAGCAAGCAGCTGGCTGCATCGGCAGGAGGGCTATTTGAATGGAAAGCACAGGAGCTGAAGAAGAGTCCATTTCCCGGCACCAGGGAGCCTGATTCTCTGGTCACATAATGGATGAGGTGTCCGAGGGTTAAAAATCAAAGGGGTGGTTCCTGTTTTAAGGGTCAAGGAACGGGTACATTTCTTGGTGGAGTAATCAACCAAACAGCCCCACTCACGTTGACATGAGGTGGTGCCCTTCAGCGAAGGTTAATTTTATGTGACTGGGCGCCAGGGTGCCCAGATATGTGGTTAAACGTTACTCTGGGCTGCCTGTGAGGTTGTTTCTGGATGAGAGGAACGTCCGAGCCACAGACTGAGTACAGCAGGTTGCCCTCCCTGACGTGGACGAGCCTCAGCCCATCGATGGAGGCAGAGGAGGGAGAATTCGTTCTCTCGGCCTGACTGTGAAGCTGGGACACTGGTGTTCTGCCTGGACTGGACCTGAGGCTCGGACTGGAGCTAACACCATCATTTCTCCTGGGTCTCCAGCTTGCCAGCTGCAGACTGTGGGCTTCTCCGTCTCCATAACCATGTGAGCCAATTCCTTACAATAAATCCTTCTATATTCACATCCATCCTATTGGTTATGTTTCTCTGGGGAACCCGGACTAATACACCTTCCATTTTTCTCTCTGTGGCACCAAAGGCCCATGCATATTACCAGAGGCTGATATTGTTACTACGGACAAAGAGTGTACCAAAACACAATCCTGCGGGGCCCCTACAGCAGGGCCTCTCAGCATGCTCTGTGGACCACTGCCAGGCAGACACTGCCTGTGGCTGGTCTGCAATGAGCTAAGGACAGGAACGGAGAGACCACTTTGAAATGTTTATAGCAGGGGTCCTCAAGCTTTTTAAACAGGGGGCCAGTTCACTGTCCCTCAGATCGTTGGAGGGCCAGACTATAGTTTAAAAAAAAAACTATGAACA